ACAGAGGATCAAGTTATCAAATATGTATTTTATTGGTCAAAGTACTCAACAGTAAACAGGTAAATAAAAACCAGCTACTAATAATCAGGATAATCACCTTTAGTGGTTAGGGTTAGGGTTATGTTGAGGGTTCAGTGTCTTGCCCAAGGATACTACGACAATCAATACAGATATCACGTGTACTTGTTATTCTGCTACATTTGTTTGACAAATGTAGTTACAAGTAACTGTATATTTTACACAAAAACAACTGAGTTAAGAGAATCCTGAAGTAAATACAGAAATAAAGAGTAACATGCATAAACAAAGAAATAAAGGTTGGTAATTAAACAGGATGTTAACAACTAAATGCCCTCAGTTTATTTCATATTTATTTAATGCATTTCAAGACATTTTCTGTTTCAGACTGTGGACAAAAGAAAGGGTTAAACTATCTTGGAGAATGCGGGCATCGATCCCGCTACCTCTCGCATGCTAAGCGAGCGCTCTACCATTTGAGCTAATTCCCCTCTCCTCACAGCCTTCTTTGGCTCCTCCCTTCTTCTTGCCCTTCGTGCCTCTGAGTCTGACAGGACATCCTGAAGGAGGTGGTTCTTCCTGTGTCTACATTGTGTCCTCATGTCATTGTGAATTCAAGCAAATGCACAATTTATTAACTGACAGTGAATCAGCCTAAGTACTCCACACACACGTTTAAGATAGATGAAAATTAATTTGTAAAATTGTAATATGTGACATTTTGTGAAGAACCTTTGAAAAAGAATTAAATGTGTACACACTGTATTTGCTTCTGTGGTAAATCTCTGTGTGCAGACAAGCAACAGGTTATTGTCTCTTTAAGAAGCTCTCACCCCTTCCCCCAGGACCCCCACAACAGAGGGTCAGGGATTGCCCAGCTTTAGCTCACTCCCATTGGACAGAGCTTGAGCTGTCACTTTGTCACTGGCATCTGTGATTGGCTGGGATGACAATTTCCTGTGTTGATCCAAAGAAAAGGAAGAGAGGAGGAGAGGAAGGGAAGTTTCTAACGGAGCAGAGATGGGAAAGCAGAGAGGGCTGAGAGAGGAGGAGGTGACGTTGCTGTTTACTGTGAACTAAGGAGGAGGGAGCACATGCAGGATGTTACCCAGCAGCCCCCTGTGGTCTCTGGGGACGAGGACAGAGAATCAGAAACAGACTAGACTCAACTGGCTGCTGTGAGTACAACAAATACCTGTCTGTGTGTAAATGTCTGAGAATCCATGACGTTTTCATGTTTGTGCTAGAAAAGTGACTGACCTAAGTATCATGAAGTACTCACATAGTTCCACGTTTAATTTAATGAAAGGTAATAACGAGCAGGAACATCTTCAGCCTTGATTTTCAAGAACTGGAAGTTTGTTCCGCTCTGTGGAGCATAAAAACTGAATGCTCCATGTTTAGTTTGGAGTCTGGGGACAGCAAGCAGACCTCTCCTAGACCATCTGACAGGGCTGAGTGGTTTATGACGGAGCAGCAGGTCAGAATTAATCCTTTTAGTGCTTCACAAGCCAACAGCGGTGTTGTCGATCAGCTGCAGCTGTCTGATCAGACTCTTTAGAGAGCAGATTAAATCCAAGCTGGAAAACATTAAAATACATCAAACCAGCATGAGGTACCAACCAGTTTACATATGAGCCACTTATTTCAGATTTATTTTCAGCCTTGGGAGCTGAAAGGAGAGCGTGGAGGGGAAATGGTAGAGTGCTCACTTAGCATGCAAGAGGTAGTGGGGTTGATGCCCACATTCTCCAGGAGACTTTTAACTCTTTCTTCCTACAAATGATTGTTTCACACATAAAGATTCAACACTGCCTGTGCTCTTGTGATTAGAGATGCTAGATGTGTTCAGATGAAGTGAACTGCATTGCTCCTCTGTCTGCTGTGAGAGCCATACAGCCTGTGTTCAGGCCCAGGAACCAAAATGAAGAGGCTGAGAAAGGTTTCAAATGCAGAGGCTGGTGTTTGAGTTTACAGGACACAGAAGAGGGGTGGAGTAGAAGACAAACTCAGAGCAGTCCAGTCAGAGGCAGTCAGCTCCTTGGGAACAGCACTGGACTGTGAAGCAGGTCTGGGGTGGTCTACACACCTTGCTACTACAACTTCCACATTCATCATGTGATGCAAACTGGCCCAAAAAGCTTGTCTCCCATAGAGAATCACTGCCAAAAGAGTGGTTGTAAAACAGTGAATACATTTTTCTGAGAATCAGTGACTTATTTTATTATCAGAACAACTGGATCTAATATCACTTGGAAACTCTAGAAGAGCCACAGGGTATTGTTACTTCATCCTGTCCATGTTTGAGGGGAGCCAACAGGAAGTCAGCTGGCCTGGCACTACTGAGCATGCTCCATGGGCTCAAAAACTCCGAAACGTGAAACATCTGGGTGGTTTTTATGTACAGGGTTTGGAAGCAGTGTCACTTGTCCTGATTACATCAATGGTTGAAACTGATTGATTGGATAACCTATTCTGAGTGGCTGACATCTCCCTCCCAGGCCCAGTTGAATGCTCAGTTGTCCGGTTGCAGACAGATGTTGGACAGGATGAGCAGGAAGCAGAGTGAGTTGGAGGGTCGCCTCGATGACCTGCTGTCACGCATTGCCATGGAGACGCAGGAGATCAAAGAGCTCGAGCAGCAGCTGCCTGATGGTGAGGAAATGGCTGGCCAATCACAGGGCAGCTGCCTGGACCAGAAACATTTGATTGGCTGTCAGAAACTAATAAATAACAAGCATCTTGTTTCCTCATCTCTCGTCCTCCTCTTCCAGGTCAGATTTGGTCAAATGCAGCTCTTCAGAGAGATTTGGAGGGAATCATCTGTGGACTGCAGGAGTACCTGAGTGGCCTCAGAGAGCAGGTGGAGACACAAAACCAGCATCACAGAAATCTTAGTAGTTCTTTAGGCAGTGGTTCTTTTAGTAGTAAAGTAGTTCACTAAGTTTCACCATGTTCAATTTGCAGTGACAGACAATAAAAAGTGTCTTGTGTAAGCTCTGATTTAGAAAGCTGAAATGAAACTATAACTAGACAATCTCTCTTGAGAATGAATGAAACTATGATTCATTCTCATTAACTTTAGAAGTTTACAGTCATTGGTATGTTGAGGTTTATCCAACAGATCTCTACCTGGCAAAGTCCGTATCCTAAAATGTGTTTGACACTTAGAACTCACTGCTGTGTTCTTGTTCATTTAAACCCATCAGATGTTGACCAAAGTGCTTTACAAGCAGATGACATTTTTAGATAATGTCATTGATTACAACCAAAATAAACACAAGAACAATGAAACAAAACAACACATGACAAGAGGATGTGACAAAATAATACAAACTGATTATCTGAATAAAAACAATTGAAAGAAAGTCACTTTCGGCTTTTCCCATTTATGGGTCGCCACAGCGAATCGTCACACTGACGACTCGCATGTCGACATTTGGCACGTGTTTTACGCCGGATGCCCTTCCTGACGCAACCTGGATTCGAACCCGGGGTGCTGGGGCAAGAGCGCTGCGCCTTGACCAAAACAATTAAAAAGCTAATTTAAAGAGATGTGTCTGAAGACACGCTTTAAAAGTATCGGTGGAGGCTGAAGCTCTAATAGTGACAGCAAACTGTTCCACATTTTAGGAGAGTTAATTTCCTATTAAATGATGACTGGCGGCTGGAAAAACCCGTCTTCTAACCTTGGCTAGGCGGCAGGCGGGGCTGATTTACAGACCGTACTTTGACAACACAGGGTGGAGAAGCTGGAATAACAACAGGAGGCTGTAGGCAGCAGAGGGTCATGGAGGGGGTTGTAGCTGAGGCACCATGTCCTGTCTCACTGTCACTGGGGTTATAAGACAGGGGGGGGAGTCTGAGTCCATTTAACTTTGTCTTCAAAGTCTGGAAAAGACAGAAAGATGCAAGTAAAGAAGCTGTGAGTATAATAAAATGAACTGAGATGTTCCGACAGCGTGAGTGTGATATGTTGTGTTTTAGGCTCGTCGTGCTCAGGAGCAGGTTCTCAGTCTGCAGACTGAGAACCAGAGTCTACAGCTTCACCTGGAAGACAGCCAGAGACACTGCAGCCAGCTGGAGGACACTGCCAGGACTCTCACACAGGTGCTTGTTCCCCTTGCATTACAACCACGGTCATATTGGTTTAATAGTAAAACACAGACTTCATCAGGTTGAGCGGCAGCGGTGAAGATGTCTGCAAGTTGGTGTTCTGATTGTTCAACAACTGTTTGATAGTCTCCAGTACTGGGAGATATGTTTACAGGCATGATGAATGGTTACTAGCTCAGTGTCCTCTCTTGGAGAACGTGGGCATCGATCCCACTAGCTTTCACACTTTTCCATTTGAGCTAATTCCCCTATACAAGGAAACGTGGTTGCTCGGTCTGGTTCCCCCTTATGTTTCAGCATCAGGAAGGGGATCCAATGTGGAGGAGGTAAATCATTTGGAAGCAGAGAACCTCGGAGTGAAATGGAACTTGAAAGGACCTTTATTTGCTTCCTGTTCTGTGCATTTGCTTCTCCAGTTTGGAAATAACATTGTTTAATACCAGCTAGATGTGAAAAACAATTTCAGAACTTCAAAGCCAATATAAAAACCTTGGGAAGTTTTTCCAGACTTTCCAATTCCTGATATAATGTTACAGATTTGTTGTACCCATGATTATTGAGCACTGTTGTTGTTGACTCAGTGCACTTAGCTGAGCTGCGAGAAGCTTAGCTCTGTCCATGTGTAAATAGTGAGCAACACTGAAGTGGAACCAACCACATCAGCATTTCAAGTTCCCCTGGGTTAAGGACACAGGACGTTCCAGGTTGAAATCTGGTTGTACTGACCTGTGTGTCCACTTCATTTATGGTGAGACGGTTAATCCATGTGGCTCTGTTGCTAAAACTAAAACGATCTGTCTGTAGAACATGTCCATGCAACAGGAGGAGCTGTCTGTGTTGCGTGTGGAGGCTGAGACTCTGAGAGGCAGGCAGGTGGAGAGCAGCAGACAGCAGGTGGAGCTGGAGGCAGAGCTCCAGGAGCTGAGGGCGGAGCTAACCCGACAGGCCACAGTGGGACAGGTAACATGTCATTTAAAACAGTTTAATTAATTTTTACTAATAACACTTGGTAACAGTTGCTTAGCTACATCTTTTATCTTGTTTCCTCTTCTCCACCTCCTCCTCCTCCTCCTGAAAGTGTAGATCTGACTTTATACAGGAAAAATTTACACAAATGTAAAACTGTTGTTGCATTACTTTTTTGTTTGTGTGGAACTGAAAAATGTCTGATTTTGGAGATTCTCTGTGGTCCTACATCAAAAAACACACTGGTGCAGAACTTAACAGACTAGAGAACACACACAGCACAACACCTCTGGTTTCAGTGTGTATGTATTGTGTGTGTGTGTGTGTGTGTGTGTGTGTAGTTGGAGCGTGATGCTCTGCAGGCAACTGTAGACAAAGAGCAACAGAGCAGAGAGATCAGAGAGTCTCAGCTACAGTCAACCATCGACATGCTGCAGGTCAGTACATGAACACATTTCCTTTATCAGCACGTTTGTGCTGCCAGAGCATGAAAGAAAAAATGGTGGCACACACACAAGCACTAATGTGCAAACTGGTGAAAGTCTAAAAAGACGATAGGACGGTCGGCTGCTGCCGTGAATCAGCCTGTGGATCACAAGTAGTGAACCGTCAATATTTAGCTGACATACTCACACAGCTGAACTCTCTAGTATTTGTGTCTGTCTCTGTGCAGGATGAGAATTCATCTCTCCAGCACATTGTCCAGAGACTTCAGGCCCAACTAGACCAGACCGACTCCCAGTTACACCAGACCAGGACCCAGTATAATGAAACCACAGCCCACCTAGACCAGACCAGAATTCGGCTGGACCAGTTTACAGTGGCCTTGTTGGATCCTCAGGAGGTTCACCCTGGACCAGAGGAGCTGGATGAGGACAAGAGCAGGTAGCAGTACTGCAGTACTACTGTAGTAGTGTTCTCTCTTTAACTGGTGTCTTCCAGCTCCCCATGTGGCATATCTTTACAGGTGAACAACTTACCAGTCACAGTTCAGTGATAAATCAGATGCCCACTGGGGAGAGAAGGAAGGATTAAAAGTGTCCTGGAGAATGTGGGCATTGATCCCACTGCCTCTTACATGCGAAGCAAGCGCTCTACCATTTGAGCTAATTCCCCTGTGCCTTACGGGGGCAGTCCACTGAAAACTGGGTCTGCAGGTCTCAAAAGACTTGAGACACCTTAGAAGGTTTTAAAAGGTTTTACAGTTTTTATAAAGGTCTTGAATATTTTTCTCACAGACAGTGCGACTATTTTCTTGTATGTTGTGAGCTGTCAGGTGACTCGTGCGTGCAGGAGTCCTTTTTCATACACTATCTCTGATGCTAGCTTTAGTAGCCAGTTAGTGTATGGACTCATAATGGGTTAATAGTCTCGCAATTAATCAATGAATGAAATTAGTTTAAATGGTTAATACATCCATTTATAAAAAAAAAAGAAGAAGAAAGTGGTGGAAAAGAGGTGCACGTAGTGTAATAATACCAATACCAACAACACCATGTGATATGCAGGGTTCAGTTCAACATTTATGTAACAAGGAGCAGGTGTGAAGGGCTCTGGCCTCAGAGGAGGACCAGGTTACTAAGGCCTGTGTGTACACAAAGTGTCTCACTGTTTGTTCATGTTGTGACTCTGAGCCATCCCCCTGCAGTCCTGTCGCTCCTGAGGTCCTGTTGGCCAGAAGTGTGGAGCACCTCTACAGGACCCTCCAGCAGACCAGGACCAGCAGGAAGCAGCCCCAGCAGGACTTCAGCCACAGCCAGGAACAGATAACCAGACTGCAGGCCCAGCTGGCCCAGGACCAGGGCCACAAAGCCCAGCTGGAAGCCCAGGTAGACCGGGACAAGGATCTGGTGGATTGTGGTGCGGTGCAGAATCAGGAGGCAGACTGGAAGCTGAAGGAGGAGCTGGAGAGACTGAGAGTCAAACTACAGAGGAGTCAGAGCAGAAACAGACACCTGGTCAGTATCAGCTGGTCTACATCAGCCCACACCGACAGTTTGTGTATTGTGTTTACTGGCCACAGACGAACAGCAAAAAACAGAATTAATTGGAGCAAACGTGAGCAACGTGCAGCTCAACATGAGCAGTCAGACTCGGAGACCAGGTTGACCTTTGTTCACAGCACCTGTTACTTGTCTCTTCTCCTGCAGGAGTTGCAGCTGGAGCAGAGTTGCCTCCAGCTTCAGGATGTCCAGCAGGAAAGAGACTCACTGCTGCGGCAGGTCAGGTTTTCACCATGTCCTAGTAGATGTCCCCCATGTTATGTGTGTCCGGTAAGAACAGCACAAGTTAAAGATAAAAGTCAAGCAGTTAAAGTCTTAAGTGTCAGTGTAAATGGCCTCACATTAGTAAATGATGTACTGTCGTTAAAAGTCAAACATTATAGAAGGGCTTTTATTTTGGAACTTCCTTCCTTTGTTCTAAAATAGTTCTCAAAGCTGTTTGAGCCGTGACCCCACATGACTGGCAGGGATCACTGAAAAAACTAATTCAACAGCTGTAATTAGTAGATTGCTTAATAACAGTTAATCATATTGTGAACATTTTAACATAAGTTGAAGGGATGTCAAAGATAATACAACACTGTTATAAAATTTGATGTTTATTTGTCCAAAATCAATGAAAATCCAAGCGGTTCGCTCGCATTTTATTTATGTGATGCTACAGAGCTCTTGGTCTGCAGTCTAAGAAGAGATTTAATGTAGGACATTGAGTTCCACAGCCGAGGGGCTCAGACAGGAAAGACCCGGTCAGCTTCGGTGACAGTCGAGACTGTGGTCGAGCCTGATCAATGAAAGCCTTAACCATGTAAAGCCCAACATATCAAAAAATAGCCAGAACATTCTAATGTTCTGGAATTGAGATGTTTATTAAACCTTTTTACAAAATCTAAAATATAATTCATGATTCAAAATTAAGATTCATGATTTTTATTTGCCATATATGCATAGACAGACAGTCCAGTCATATAGGAATTTATGCCACACTTCATATAGGAATATTATTTAGATTATTTCTATTTCTTTGGTATCACATTTGATACATGGGGCATTTTTGGTGATTTTTTTTTTCTCAGAAACCTCATGTATCAAATATGATACAAATGGTTTTATAGGGTTAAACATGAGCAGTGCACTCTTAAAATCAGCCCTAAGACTCACAGGTACCCAGTGAAGGGTGATTTCACCTGGTGATACTAGAATAGAGAGCATTGCAATAGTGTAATCTGGAGGAGACAAAGCATAGATGACCTTATAGATCTGCAGATGTCCACGCCTGTGTCCCAACCCATAAAACACACACACACAGGTGGGTCTGAGTCTGTAAACAGTGTCAGGGCTGCAGTTTGTTTACAGCAGAGACAAAACACCTGCCAAAGCTCTTCTTCATTTCAAAGTCCTGCATGCCCGACCAGACATCAGCAGAGTGAGCTGTGGATTCAGGAGTGATCAGTGTCCCTGGCTCGTGTGAGTACCAGATGTGTGAAGCGGAAAACAGTGTCAGAGTGGAGGATGTACCTGAGCACTGAATGCTTCCAGTAAATCCAGAATGGATCTTCTCCTTGTTACAACATCCACATACTGGTGGATAGAAGATATGTCAGGACGTTCAGCCAGCCCTCAGCTGCTGCAGAGTCCTCCCGTCCCCAATGATGGAGACATGAGGGAGAGTGACCTCAGGACCTGGGACAGCATGGTCAAGCCAGGTGTCAGAGTGTTTCTGAAGGCCCTCTCCACCAGACGCTTGGCGGGGGTCTTCATCAGGTCAGAGATGAAAAAATGGACCACACCAAGATCTCTGTCCTGAACATTTATTCTATTTATCAAGGGTCTTGGTTTATACTGGATGTGACACAGGGGAGATGTATGTAATGTAAGAATGCTGTGAGCAGTGCACGCTGGGATTGACTGTCCCATCTTTGGTCCAGCTGCTTTCACAGAGCGACGGGCACCAGAGGAGCATTGGCCGCCTGAACAGGAAGCTACGGCAGCTCAGCAGGTTCATTTGTGACTCTGATCAGCTGACAGCAGAACAGCTGAAGTCAATTGTCAAACAGCTGAGAGCTCTGCACCACACTGTGGAGCTGCTGCATACACAGGTACGCACACACACACACACACTAACTCCAACTTAACCAAGTCATCACCCTAAAACCCTGATTTATTTGCACCAGGCGTAATACGTGTTGTGCCATGAGTGCCACGTTGACCTGTGCAGGATTAACCCACCAAAACCACCAGGGACGCTGTACTAAACTGCACCATCTTAGCTACAATGCTAATGTTCCTAGCAGTAGATCGCTACAGTTCAGACACTCAGTCTGTGTGTTTACTAAAACTGGTAGCTTCACCGGCAGCTGATATTTCAACTCAGCTGTCACAGCGCACCACAGACACAATAATGAGGAGCAGCATTCTTTTCTGCAATAAGGTCTGTCTTGTATTTATAACAAGGAAACAGCTGTCCTGTCCTGCACTGGGCTGCAGTTCCCGGTCTCAGCTGGATTACAAGAGAAGTATGCTGTATGACAATAGGTGATGTTTTTATCTTTTGATTTACCGATGTAGCTCTGTATGTCAACAGTCGAACCAGAAAGCTCACAGTGACTGTCAAGACCTTGATCCAGTGTTACAGATGGAGTAAATATGTTCTTAACAACCAAACCTCAGCAAGTCTGTGGGATCTGAAGAGCCCTTCACTAAGAGTGAAAAAACACACCCTCTGATAACAATGCATCTCTAGTCAGTGAGGTTATATTTAATAAAACAGGAAACTTTTCAGTAGGACAACCAGGTGATGCAGCCTGACATTAAGTTACAGATTGTGTTTGTTTTGTTCAGAAGACTGTGGACGAGCTAGACAGCAGCCGTCACCAGGCTGAACGCACAGCAGAGGAGCTGAGGGCCGAGCCGAGGGCCGAGCCGCGGGCCGAGCCGGCTGCAACTCAGAGACACACACACACACCGAGGCAGCAGCTGGGCCGGACCAGGACCAGAGTCGGAGGACAGTGGTGCTTCATACCTCCTGGACACAGCGTGAGGCTCATCACCTCCTTGTTTTTCACACACACACGAATGTTAACGTGTGAATGATGAGCAAACTTGCTGCAAAGGACAGTGTGTTTGTTCTACACACTGGTTCACTCAGGAAAAAGTAATTAGGCAGGGGAGCAGTGAAGTAGTGAAGCAAATGAAGTTACTAATTAGTCCTCATTAATCCTCTGAACCTTTATTAACAGTGTTTCCTCAGTTTAGTTCTTTTAAAACTGTGGATATAAAAACCTCCCAGAATCCCTGACACGTGTCTAAACTCCTTTAAAGAAATGGTGCTGTTGTTTTATTTTGTGAAATTTTTAGTCATTTTACAAGAAAAACTGTGAGATTTGAGGAAACCTATCTCAGCTTAACAGAAATGTCTTTCTGATTTTCTGTTCTGTTCATCAACCTGCGACCTCGTGTCAGGGCCCCCATCCTGAGGCTGAGAACCACTGTTTGGGTATAAGTGTCTCCTGCCATCAGAGTTTCCTACAACAGAGTTTGAGCTAACCTGATCAGGTTTTACAGTAGCAGACAGACTCGTTCTGTGGGAGCGGAAGAACCCACATAGACTGCAGACCTCCGAATCATTACACTACACAGCTGTGTCCACGTTGGTATTTTTGAATGTGTCACAGTGTTAACATATCCATAAACCTAAATGACAAAAGTAGTTGTTCCTTTCACGTTAGCAAACACAATGGGAAATAAAAGTTCCTCTCCCTCCTTCAGGCTCACACTCTGGTTTCTCTGAGGACTCAGGACTCTGGTTTGGGGCTGCACTACCTCAGGTCTCCTGACAGGGAGCAACAGCCGAAGAGGCCTCCTCCAGGAGGAGGGCACTGGGTCTACATCCCTCCGACACACCCCGACTCTGACACAGGTACACAGATGCTCAGATGTGCCTGCATGCTTGTCCTGAGCTGTTCAGACTCTGATGTGTTTTCTGTGCAGCAGCAGAGTGGAGGGACAGCGGAGGAGGCAGCGACAGGAGCTCCAGGGAAGGGACTCCCCCTCCTCCTCCCGAGCCAGCTGCAGTTGTCTCTGCTGGGCTCTCTGACAGCCACACTCCCCTGGTTGGACCCACCTGGCTGCTGTGTAGCTCGCCTGCAGCCGGCGTCTACAGTGCTGCAGCAGAGGGCACGGCTCTGCACTGTAACATCCCCGAACACAGAGACACGGTCAGTGTCTGCAGCAGAGTCAGGATTCTCTATCATTCACTACATCACATGACAACAGGAAACAGCTGCTGCATGTGTGTGTGGTTGTAGTGTTCAACGCTGTAAATGAGAATCAGCCGCTCTGAGTCTGAGAGAACCAGAGGCTTTTAATTACAGCAGTGAAACAACCCTGGTAATATTGATTTGAGCTCATTTTGTCCGACCCTACAGAGCTGATGTGTGTAACTATGTGTGTGTCAGCAGGGAGAGAAGTGTGAGCATGTCCATAGAGAAGCAGGGAGGCTGGAGGAAGAGAAGAAACTCCGACTGGAGACCAAACAGCTACGACGCACACTGAGGCGACACAGGTAGCACGCTGTCACTGTAACAGCTGGCTTTCATCACAGCTGGAGGGATAAACCTGAGGACTGGCTGCATGTATATGAGGACTGATAGTCACCAGGTTACCACAGTGCATGTAAACACTGATCTCGGGGGCGACTGTGGTTCGGTGGGTATAGTTGTCGGCAGAGGGTCAGAGGTTTGAATCTTGGTGCCTGCAGTCCACGTGTCGAAGGGTCCTTGGGCAAGTTGCCCCCTGATGGTTAGAGCCATTGGTTGAGTTGGTGCCGCAGATGGCTTCCTCGGTTCTGTACCGGAAACAAATTCCTTGTGTGTAACATACTTGGCCAATAAAGGTGATTATCTCCACAGTCAGCTGGTTTCTTGAGTGTGCTAAAGTGCTGACTGTTTTTCACTTCTTCTCGTCTTGCGTATGCACAGGAGTGTGATGCAGGTGTGTGACGAGGTGGAGTGTGTGGAAAAGACTCTTCTGAAAAGACGAGCTGAACTCCGCCAGGCTGACAGGCTGCTGCTGGAGGCCCAGAGCTGCATACACACCACCAGAGACAAGGTACACACACACACACACACACACTCCCGACTGGACTCTAGCTCATTGCTAAATGGCTCGAGACTTGACTCAGACTCATGAATGATTACACAGGAACATTAAGTCTTTAAAAGGTTGGGCTTGAGTGAGATGAGCTGCACTGAGAGCAGGAGGCAAAGAAGAAAACATGACAGCAGAGAATTTCCAGCAGCCTTCACAGTCTGTACAGGAAGCCACAGAAACATCTTGTTAGAGCCAAACCTGATTTAATAAGGTGTCATCGAGCCGAACTGTTTGGCTGGGGCCTTATGTTCTTCTCTGTAACAGGACCACTAATATGCTACATAGCAGATCTGTGGTTATGGTTTAACCTTCTGCCTGAGTTGAGACACAACCAGCAGGGCCACTGATCAATCAGCTGATCATTGTCCTGATGACCTGATTGATCTGTTTGTCCCCAGAATGTCAGACACTGGGAAAAAGTCCCGCTGTGACTCTCCAGAGCCAAAGGTGGCGTCTCCACATGTCTTGTTGTGTCCAACCAGCAGATCCACAGAGACTCAGCTGATTCTCATGTCTGACAAAGAAAAGCATCAGCTCCTCACATTTACTAAAAAGTCTTTGTTGGACAGGGTTAACCCTAATACCTAACCCAGTTGTCACCCAGTTGTAAACGCTGCCACACTTCAGTTTTTGTCCAGTTCCTCTCAAACGTAAGAAATTCAAACTTGTCTGCAGTCAGTGAGAACTGTCTGTAAGCTGAATGTATAAAAGCACAACCGATCACACAACATTTATTCTGGTAATGGAGTAAAATCAGACTGATTAAAGTCGTAAGGCACTGAACTGAACATTTGTGTTGGATGAAAGTTTCAGTTTTTACAACCGTCTGTGGTCCTTTAATGCATCATGGCACGTGACGCACAAACGAGACCCATCAAGCAGGATGCAGAGATTTCAGCCGACTTGACTCCAACAAAGAACCTGCCTCATTCTGTTAATGTGTGTAAAGGATCAACTGTCTCATATAGCGCTGTTGTACGCATTGAAGTACACTCAAAGCGCTTTACATTATGTTCCATTTCCTGTAAAAGACACCAGGTTGACTTCATAAGGCGCCTGAAACCTGAGAGTTTGTCCAGACTTCTGGCTCATGCTAAACTGGAAACCCGTAGCGTGCATTTTAACTGTCGAGATGTTTCCAACAACCGGAATAATAACCACCAGAGAGGGAAGTTGCAGTATCTGCAGCTGTTAATGTCTCCAAAGGAACTGTGTGCAGTTTATGCACATGGCACAGCAGGTGGAACTTCATAAGTCTTCTGTATTATCCATAGAGTTTCTGAATCAAGTGTGTTTCTGCGCAGCATACGGGTGATCAGCAGTGAAATCATGCTGTGCTCAGCCCTGTCAAAGCTGTGGACACAGTTTTTACTTTCAGCTAAACTCCAAATATTGTTTCCTCTGGAGCATCAGAAATATTTTTGTTGTTTATATTTGTAGTAGTGACACGAAACAAATATAACCACTGAGAGATAAAAATAAGGCAGTCTAATGTACTATCTGTTGTTGGCAGCCTATAAGCTACTGTAGATACTGTAGTTGCCTCACTGCAGACATTTGTCTGTTTTGAATCCCACAGAGAAAATAAAGTGTTTCCTGAATTAATAAAAAAAATGAAAAGCTTTAGTTTGTGGTACAGCATTAAAAATGGCATTTAGATCATTCAACAGCAGCACCTCTTTTTCTTTAAAGACTTGAGGTGTTGGGGCTCGTGAACATCTTGAACACTCGTGTCTAAACACTGCCAGAGCAACAGCACTGACCGTTCTGTGCCTCTTCTGTCCTCCTGCTTCCTACAGGCCAGTGCAGCTCAGTGGACGGCAGACAAGTTGCAGCGCAGAGCTCACAACAGCGCCACCCATCTGCTGGAGGCCACACAGCGCCTCAGGTAAACTTCCACAGGCTGACCTCTGCCCTCGATGCTCAGCTATCAGCATTGGGGTCAACTGATTCTTTCTCATGCACATGTCATGTACCAACTGATGTCCTAGAGAGCTGCAGGAGGACATGGGGGGTCTGAGGAGGAGGAGGCAGGAGGAGGAGCAGACTCTGAGGAAGGTGCAGGAGGTGCTGAGGAGCAGAAACCAGGAGTTCCAACAGCTCAGCACAAAGCTCCAGTCAGCCACAGACAGGTGTAGTACTGTCACAGCTGCCAGATGTTTCACAGAGGCTCTGCTTTGCTGTTCTGAGTTTGGATTTTCTACAAAGCATTTTCACCTAAAATCACCAAAATGTTGATTTAGAAGTCTGTGCCGCGTGTGTGTGTGTGTGTGTGTGTGTGTGCACGCAGACTGTCTGATGTGCTGTCCCACTGTCAGGAGGCTCAGAACCACCTGGACTCTGTCAACTGTCAGGTGACCTCATATCTTCATCTTCAGATAATTAAACAACCTGTTCACATCTGAAATACTGTTTTTCCAATATTTTAATTGTTGTAAAGTGTGAAATCATGTCTGTTTTCAAAAACATAGTCTTCTCCTGGTGTGTGCATCCCAAACATCACTGAGATCACACCAGGGTAATGGGCGTAGTCCTGTTTAGGGCGCAGTCAATTTACAGAGCAGAATGTTGACCTGCTGAGACCAGACAGAGGAACCAGACACACCCCAGACCAGCAGGTGGCACTAGATAAACCACCTTTAAAGCATTAAAGGAGAGGGTGGAGAATATTTGAGCTTTTGCTGCAGACACACATGATTCACATAAAGGAAGAAGGCTTTGTGTCTGACGGTTCTGAGAACAGATTGTGTAGAAAGTCTTCACTTGTACAACCAGGAAGTATAATGTACAGAGTGAGTCACACTGTGGCCCCGGTATAGCCTATACTTGTTGTTGGAACATTAGTATCCTGAATTAACTGTTACCAGTTCCTGTTTGCTGTGCACCAGTGGCCATGCAGACAACTGACACTGAGTCACTGTGATACTGAAGACATCCTAAAAACCTGACGGCTCTCAGCCAGGTTCTGCAGAGGTCCCTTCCTGCAACATTAATGGTGCATCATCTTGCAGTTATGAGATTAGGTGTCCACTTTGCGTCCCTTGTGAAAGCAGTGTGTGTCTGTGGATGGCAGACTGTTAAAAGACAGGCTAGAAACCCTTGTCCTCCCTGCAGGTGGAGCAGCAGGATCGGAGGCTTGTTCAAAGGAGGGAGGAGCTTCAGACGGCTCTGAAACGAGTGGAGGAGGTCCGAGAGGAGGAGCAGCGACTGCAGAGCAGAGTCAAGGTAAGGAGGAGGAGGCGACACCACCGTGTGAACTTAAGGAGTCGTGACCAGTCGTATCCACCGTCTCTGGTTCTGTTCCTCCTGAGCTCCATGACCCTGAGCTCCTGCAACCGCATTTGCGTTTTGTTCAGGAAGCTATACTGCATCTATGTTCAGATATTTTCAGGAGTTAGTGCTGTTGATCAGATGTGTGCAGACCTTCCAGCATCCTCTTTGATGATTTGTTTTATCTTAGACATTTCATTTTAATTTATTTATTCTGATCATGTCAATGAATTCAAAATAAAGTTTCCTTGTGCCCCTTCTGTGGCTGAAAAGGAGCAGGAAGGAGAAAGTTACACGACAGGCCCCTCACTGAAAACATATCTAAACATTAGAAAAAGATGGTCTACTTACTAGTAAAACAGAACAACAGACACAGAGAACGTATTTCTCTGCTTTCGTTACTGCACTGACCGATATCTGAACAACTCTTAACCCACTGTTGAAAGTCCCACGGCTGATTTAAAGTAGTCCATGCACACTGGTCCTTAAAATTAAAGCATTAAGACAATATCACCTGTATTATCAATATTGTGAGATATTGCCTTGTGTGCACAAGATACGGTATTTCTGGCAAGGGACCGTGTCACATCACAGCACAACTAGCACAGATACAACACGTAGACGTGTCCTCCGGCTGTGAGCTGCATCTCTGCAGCTGCCATGTTGCAGCAGGGTTCAGTTCAAACAGAAGAAAAAAACAGACTCTGCTGCTTCTGGATGTTTGAATGAATTGACAAAACCAAGCAACAAACAAGGTTTCACCAGTGACACGCTATGTTACAGTATTTATTTTACTGTTGACTTTATTTGCTGTTTGAATAAGGTGTGACATTTCTAGCAAAATGTCATTAAAGCAGAGTTGTGAAGCTTTAGAAACATTTCCTTCATATTTTAAAGTTGGTATTTGTTGTGATTATGTTTCTGTTGTTGCTTCAGTCTGTGTTTACTTCAGACATTGTGATCAAGCTGATCTGATGGCACTGCACTGAAACCAAAGAATAAACCTAATTATGAAGAGTACATTCATCTTAGATATTATATTACAGAAATATCACTGTCATTATCTAAATCCATGTGTTTAATGGGACCATGTTTCCTGTATCACAAACACACATTTGCATTTGTAACAAACCAAGCAGCTGAAAATAAGCTGCAAATTCAGTGAGTCATGGTGATTTTAACTGTGAACATGCATTAACCTCTAGAGTCCCTGCGTCCTCATGGTGACAGGTGGGGGGGTCCTGTGTGCAAGCTGGAGACCTTTAACTGACAAAAGTACAAAGAAAAGGCTTTCATGGCTGCAGTGAACCACAGTGACTCACGAGGAGTTAGAATACTACACACAGACAGTCCGAGGAGGAAGCATTGAAAGGCTGAAAAATAAAGGATCACAGCGCTGAAGTGGAGGACGCTGACAAACCACAGTGTGGGTTGGACACTGACTGTCAGCCCCTCCTTTTCATCACTGGTTTTCCCACAGATGTCGACGTCGGTCTCGTACCAAGCAGAATAAAAACATGACGTCGTGCTGTCACATTTGTAATGAGATAGATCTGAAACATTATGGTTTGCAGAACACAAGATGGGTGCAGGTTCTGAGAACATCAGCTTAGAGACTGTTGGGTTCCTGCAGTGGAAACAAACTGCCGAGTGGAGCTGTGGACAGATGTATTCTGCTGTTTGTGTAGGTGCTGGTGGAGCAGCAGGAGGCTCTGCTGAGTGACAGGAGGTCTACAGCATCAGCTCTGAGAGCAGAGGAGAAGAAACTCCACACACTGCAGTGTGATCTCAGGACACACACAGCAGGTAACAGCACACAAGGAGGTGGTGGGTTTAAGAACTGGAATGGCTGCACAAAGCCTGAACAGGTGGACGTGGTTCTACTCATCAGTTCTGCATACAAAAGGCACAAACTGCTGATTCTGGGTGGAAGTGATGTATCCCAACAATATGGTAAGTAACATGGAGCTGGTCTGAAATCAGCTTAGCATAGGGTGAGTTTTAGCATAACTCACCCATTTAAAATGTATTGATGCTAAAAGTTACACATTTAATTAAGGCTGTGGCTGCTTTGGGTGACAGGTGGGGGGGTCCTGTGTGCAGTTTTCATGTCAGCTCACAGTATATTTGGCAGCTTATGATGCTACAGCAGGAAATTTATATTTTCATTTTCAGATGTCCATTGTAATAAAAAGTACAAATCTATGAAAGATCAGATAGTGTATATATTGTTAGGTAGTATTCCACAATTTTTCACACCACATCCAAGCCATCGTTTGGTGTTTATGCAGCACTCCTCTGAGTCTGTGTGTGTTTGTGTCCAGAGTTGAAACGAGTTCTTCAGGAGCTGCTTGTAGAGCAGCAGGCATTGGAGAACGTGAAAACCAAACATAGCCAGACGCACCAACGGCTGCACAAGAAGCAGGATGAGCTGGACAGGACAAAGCACGAGTTGGACAGAACGATGGACGAACTGGACAGGAAGCAGCATAAGCTGGACAGGATGAGGGACGAGCTGGACGGACTGCAGAACGACATGGACAAGAAACAGCAGGAGGTGGATGGGAAGACGGAGGCACTGGACAAACTGCAGGAGGAAGTCGACAGGACACAGAAAGAACTGTCTGTGCTGCAACAGCAAGTAGAGTCCTGCAGGACAGAGGCCAAGGCGTGTGTCAAAGACACAAAACGGCAGAGGACAGAGCTGCAGGTGGGTCAGCATGTTTACTGTTTACAGTCATCAGGTCAGTCGGTGACAACTTTGCCATGGATCCTGTAAGTTGTGATTAATTTCAAACTACAAACCCCATTTCCAGAAAAGTTGGGAAATTTTCCAAAATGCGATAAAAACTCAACTCTGTGATTTGTTAATTTGCTTGAACCTTTAACTGACAAAAGTACAAAGAAAAGGCTTTCAGTGTTTTCACTGACCAACTTCACTGCATTTTGTAAATATAAACAACTTTAGAATTTGATGCCTGCAACGCACTCAATCAAATTTATAGCAGGTAGATGCAGATGAAGGCTGTGCTAATGGAAGAAGCTCACTGAGAGATATAAGTATGCTGTTTGGTCTCTCTGTTGAAATGAGCAGGCCTTGACAGCTGATTCCATGGCCAAGAGGCTGTTACTGGAGGTAATATACTCTGCAGTATATATGTTTTATTGATGCTTCTAAAGCTTTTGATCATGTGAGTCTTAGGCACCTTTGATAAAATGAGTCACGGGGGGTGTCCAAATGTAAAGTGAGAATATTGGCTCACTGTTATGGCCACTGGACCATGTGTATAAAACGGGTCCCTAGTGGAGTTAAGACAAGGGGTTTCTGTCCCGTTTAATCTGTATAGGGATGGACTGTCCAGGCAGTTGAAAGCTTGTAACACTAGGTGCATGACTGGTAATACACCAGTGAACTGGTTGATCTTGTGGTCGCCAGTCCATGTAGTGCCGGTCTCCAGCTGCTCCTTAATGTCTGTTCTGTGTGTGGTGTGGAACATGATATCAAATACAGTGCAGGTAAAGAGTGTTGTCATGATAGCACTAAAGAGGACACATGCTTCAAATGTCCAGATTTTAAACTGTCAGGCAATACTGGTGTCAGTAAGAAGGTCCGATATCTTGGATATTTCATCACAGAACAAATGACAGATGATGAAAATATTTAGAGACCATGTTGTACTCTGTATATACAAGCAAACATTCTCAAGTTCAGATGCAGTGAAGATGCCTTTATTTGAAGCCTGTTGCACACTTTTGGTTCCACTACAGAAACTTCACGTAGCCTGTGACAATGCTATGAGAACATAATTGAAGAGGCTCATATGGTCCAGTGCACGTGAAATATGTCTGGCTACTGGAGCTACTACCTTACCAGCAGTTTTGCCAAACCTGGTGAACTGAATTTGGCTTTATCTGCCCAGGAGCTGCAGGAGGAGCTGTGCAGGAGCAGGGAGGAGAGGAGCAGCCTGCAGGAGCAGTGCAAACACATTGAGGCCAGACGGAGGCACGCTGACAGGTGCACGCATGGACACACGTGTACTGTGTGAACCATATTGTCTGTACACAGGCGCAGTACAGCTCCTTCAGAGGCAGATGTGGTTATCACATTGTTTAATAACTCTTGTCTGCTAAATCTACTACGCTCTAAAAAGACATGGGTCAGTAATGTCACTTATTAATAATGTGTGTGTGTGTGTGTGTCAGGTGTCTGTTGGCAGTGGAGGTGGAGCTTGCCAAACAGAGGGAGGAGCACAACTACACCCAGCATCTCAAACAGGAAGTGGTCAGGGATACAGCAGCCACTCGGGAGCAGCTCAACAGTATGACATCACCATTTATGCTGTTCGGTGTCGCACACAGACTACAACACGAAGACTGTGACACACAGACATGATGTGGTGTTTGTGTTGCAGAGAGCTCCGAGCTGCTGTCTCTGCTCAGTGAACAGGTGGAGGAGGAAGCAGCAGCTGGAACAGGTCATGTCTATTATACATTGTTATAATACATGTATACACTTATAACAATGTATTAATAAACTTATGACAATTTCTCCAAAACCTGAAACGTGCTGAGCTTCATAAACACAGATGTTAGGGCAGTAGCGTTGCATCGCAGCACATACACAGGTGTACAGGGGTACCTAATAAAGTGGCCGGTGAGTCTGTACTGGTTATGCTGGGTAAATAGTGGATAAGAGTAAAGTGTAAGGGGTTTGATGTGGACACAGTGACTACAGGATGGACACAGAGCAGTGTCATAAACTGTACTTGTCCTTTAATGTCTGACGTGCAGCACAGAGAACGTGACAGCGGGGAGACAATACTGGACTGGTTGGGAGCTGAAACTTACTGCAGCTTTGTCTTTTGTAAACACATCAAACTGTTGTTTATGTTATTTGTGACAGACCTGACCTGTGCATGAAGGACGATGATCATAAACACTTTGTTACAGCTTAGTCTGGTGACACTTTTCTCTTTGCCATTAAATCTCGTGCACAGACTCAGACCGACATTGGGCGTCTCCCGTTAACTGTCCCGTCTGGTCTCTGTCCTCCCGCTGAGCCATGGTGCTCCACTGGTGTGGGTCCAAACAGGAGATCTGATGACACAGAGGGACTCCACACTGACACTCACACGTCCTGTCAGGAGACAGCAGCTCTGCTCTCAGTCTGTCACAGCAGAGCCGGGTGTCCGCATCACCTCTCCGTCATCACGGTTACATTCGCTAGGCAACACAGCACATCAGGGCTGCAGCAGCCGCTGTCTACCTGCTGAGAGACAGTACGGCAGTCAAACATCTGCACCACAGACTGCACTAACTGACACACCTGGGGTCTAGTGTGCAGGTAAACGCACCTGGATTTTTCCACGTGAGCCGGCATCCAGCAGTTTGATACAGAGCTTGGCTTCACTCAGCAGCTTCCGTTTGACTGAGTCACCGAGCTGAGAGTCCGCAGAGACGTTAACCAGCAGCTTCAACAAGCAACGCAGCAATGTGTTAACCCGGCACTCCATCCTGACACACACACACACACACACACGGGTTCACTACAGGAGCTGACGTTTCCACACAAACCATCTGGGCTCAGTCACCAACGGTCAACCGTACGTTTGTTTAGGTCGGTGTTGGTGGAGTTTTGTCTGTATAACAACAGTCGCACAAACAGTATGTGAGCTGTGATGCGCTGTAAAAACCAACCCGACATCCCTGTGGTGGTGATGTGCATCACACAGAGAAATGATTTTATCAGAGCACATCGAAGAGAAGTGCTCAAAGAAAAACGAGAAATCATGACCAAATTAGAAAAAATAAACTCCACTCCTCACAGATCATCTTCAACACTGGACAGTTTAAAATAAGTAAATCTGTGTTGTACCAAGTCTGCTGTCGTCCACATGCGAGGACCTCTGGTCCCTTTTCAGGGTTCAGACGAGAACCAGGTTTAGGTCCGGGTCAGGGTTCTTACCGGGGCCAGGCCGCTCTCGCCGTTTTCTGCAGCGCCTCCAGGATCTTCAGCCGGTTTGTCTCTTCAGGTGGATCTCTGATCTCCAGGTATCCCAGTACCACCCGGTCCAGCCGCCGCAGGTGTCTGCACACTGCCACACCCATCCTGCACCGCACACAAAATAAACGCACCTGAGACCCAGAAACAAGACGACTAACTATAATCTGTCTTCGTGGGAAAGTGCGTCCAAATGTCGGACTGGCACCACCACACTTGTTTACACACATGACCCTGTGTTGCTCTGTGGCCGCCGCCGGCGCGTCTGGTTTGATTACAACCAGGAAGTGATGAGATCTCACAGAAATAAAATGCTCTAAACTTTTATGGTGAATTATTATAGAAGAAATACTGCATTTTTACTAAATAGTTGTATCAGTACTTGTATACATACTCAGTGGTGGAAAGTAACTAAGTACATTTGCTCAAATACTGAACTTAAATAGAATTTTGAGGTATCTGTACTAATTTCATTTTGTGCTACTTTGTACTTTGATTTCACAAAATTTTGGGTAAATATTGTACTTTTTACTCCACTACCTTTATTTTACAGCTTTAGTTACTTTTCAGAATCAGGTAAAGAGCATACAGTAGTCAAATTATCAGCGTCTACTGATCCCTGGTGGAAGCTACCAAGCACTACTTCAAATTAAATGCATATAAGCTGGTTAAAACCAGCTGGAACATTAAAAGTGATGAACATAATAACCTATCAGCCATCATGATCCTAAAATGTGATAGACAATGTTAAATGTGACCTTCTGTATAATGAGGACTTTTACTTGTAGTATGTTTGCTTAAGTAACATTTTGAGTGCAGGACTCTTTGTAACAGAGTACTTTAACACTGTGGTACTGCTACTTCTACTGAAGTAAATCATCTCAGTACTTCTCCCACTGCTGCTCAGACTGGGACTGAACAGAGTATCCTCGCTGTGCTACTTCTAAACCTGCAGAAACCCGCCATTAACCTGCACCAGGTGTGAAAACCAAACTCACCTGTCTATATAAAGAGGCAGGGCAGAGGCGTAGATACGTCGCATCGCCACCTTGTGCTCCACCTCCATGTGTGTCAGGATCAGTCGCAGGACATCGTCATGGCGACAGGGCTTCCTCCGTGTGCAGGAGAGAGCGAGCGAGGAGGGGGGCTTCTCCAAAACTAGCAGCAGATCCAGGAGACCAAGCAGGACCAGCTGCAGACAGAAGGTTCACAGCACTAAACAACCTCAGAGTTCAATCATTGCTGTCACCTGGAAGCTGTACACAGGTATGTAGCCTGACACAGAGCTGCCTGTCTGCCGCTGACCGGGACTAAAGGCAAAGAACCAGCACGCTGTCCTCATAGCTCAGCCCAGACTGGTCTCACTGGTCCTGAACACTGACCCCGCCCACCCCCACAGAAGCACATGAGGGAGAGGGTGGAAACGTGAAGACTTTTGTGGAAGCAGTGCGTTACCTGTACGACAGCAGCCTCTGTGGTGTACAGGTGTTTGAATAAGGCCTGGTAGACGACGTCTGCTCTGTTGAACTGTCGGAGATCCGCAGCAGGCTGCACACATCACCACCACGTCATCAGAAGATGGTTCTGCTCAGCAGTTCAATACAAACTCTGTGTGTGTTGTTGTTGTTACCGTGTTGAGCACAATGTGATGCAGACAGCGAACTCCCAGCATGCAGTTCTCTGGTTTGTAGTGGTCGTTGAAGAGAAGGGAGGGGGGGAGGAGGCGAGGCAGGTGAAGGGAGAGAGAGGGGCGAGTCACCTGCGCAGACCATTAGGACAGTCTTCAAAAATATGAAGTCTGAGTACAGTGGCCCCCCAGGGACAAAACATTAAAGGTGCATTAACAAACACTGTCTGATAACCCCAGTGACAGTGGGGTCATCAGACAGAGGTCAGGTGGTTTAATGGTCAGAGATGTACATAAGAAGCCAAGAGCTTCATCACATCAGCACACGGCTCATGACAGTATGGTTAGAAAAAGACTGAACAAGTACGGCCAGCAAAGAGCTTCATCACATCATCACACGGCTCACGACAGCACGGTTAGAAAAAGACTGAACAAGTACGGCGTTCACAGCAAGGCGTCTGGGAAACCTGGTACTAAGAGACCAAAGTGGAGCTTTGTTTTGGCTGTTGTTTGTGTTTGCACCACATCGTTTTTTATGTACTGTCTGGCCACAACACTAAACTGATGGGGTGTGTAAATGTGTGAAAACTGACCTGCAGCAGAGTCCAGGCAAAAACCAGCTTCACGGCTTCACAGCGCTGCCACGAGTCCCTGCAACAGCCCCAAGGTCAGACAAATGATTCCATCAGGACACAAACTTTGATACAATCGAACAAAAACACGAAACAAAATCGGTAACAGCTGAGTTTGAACCACGTCAACAGAGACGGAGCTGCCTCTGCCCTCCTACTAAACCGGATCTGAACAGAACCGGAGGAGACGCGTGACAAGACCAGAGTAATAAACCAGACGACGTCAGAACCTACAGGCTCAGTGGGAGCAGCCTGATGTGCTCACTCAGATCTGACGTGTTGTTAAACCACCGCCTGTTATGACGCCATGTTCTCGGCTGTTTGCAGAGACAGAGCAGAGGATGAAGTACTCAGATCCTGCACTATATAAAAGTACCAGTACAGCAATATAGCAATACTCTATAAAGCTAGATAGACATGGCTCTGAGCTTAAAATCGGGCCAGATGTTGTTCAGATCACTCATGTGACGAGCAGCGAGAGTTGCAGCTTCAGCATGATTAGAACACGTACTGTGATTCGGCACACTGTACACCGTCAGTACAAAGCACAGTTCTTTAAATGAAAGAGCAGCAGAAGCATAAAGTAGCAAAGAATGAAAATACACTTTTAAATTACAAGTAGCTCAAAGCTGCACTTTGGTCCGGCACTGACCCAGGGACCAGCTGCTGTCTCTCACCTGCTGAGCTGAGGCTGCAGGACATCCAGGACACCTCCCAGAATCCCCCTGCTCTTCCCCTCCTCCTCTTCGTCCTCACCCCTGTCCCCCATCAGGAGGTGGGCAGAGTCCCGCCAGTCCCCCGCCCGCAGCAGCGCCTCATGCAGGGTCTGTGCCGCCACCCTGGAAGACGAGCTGGTCCACACCTGATCCTGAACAGGGACACAGAGGAAGACACTGAAACACATCAACAGTTCCAGGACCCTGACGTAGGCCACGACCTGAGACGGCGTTGGTTTAACAATAAAGTTGTTCTTTAAACAGCGTCCCAGCCGTCTACACCTCTTCACATCATTTTCCCTTCTCCATCACCTCAGCAGTGGGTGAAGTCCCTGACATTCAACAGCTCCCAGTCTAACCGTGCAACTCAGAGCTCCGCTCCGAACGCCTCTTCAGCCCGGAGGCTCCAGGGAGACTCTGCCCCTCCCATCATGTCCTGTTAGCTGATGTGAACTACGGATGCCTCGTTGGGACAAACTGTACAAACTACAGCCTCCAGTCTGAAGCTAGCATTAGCTGGCTAACAATAACTGTGTCAGTCCAGTAAAACACTCTGGTTACTGCTGATGTTACACAAAGCTCCAGTTCCTCCCAAATTAAAATCATATTAATTCAACACAAAGGTAAAATCCTGACCATGCTAGGCGGCTAATGCTACCAAAACAAACAGGTTAGCTTTAGATGCTAACACATCCAGAAGGAAGAACACCACATCTGAATCCAGTCTGAGTCCTCTGGCTGCCTTTAACCCTCTCCATGTCAAACAGCCAAACCCATGTTAACCCTGGTTGTTGCTCTTTCTTTGTCCCACTCTCTCTGTGCTAAAGACGCCACCTCTTCCCTCTGGCAGCCGCTGGTTCAGACGTTTAGCTGGCCAGAGCTCCTCCATGTCTGTTTGACATGACTACTGGTGGCCGGCAGGAGGCGGGGGGTGTAGCTGGGAGACACCACGCTCTGTACTACACAGGGGTTGTCAGACTGTGTCTTAGTAAATGCAGCTTTGATCCATCCATCCATTTTCCAACACTTATCCAAGGTCGGGTCAGGGTGGCAGCAGGTTCAGTAAGGTAGTCCAGACGTCCCTCTCTCCCAGCAAAATGTTACCAGCTCTTCTGGCAGGATTCCATGGCATTCCCTGGCCAGATGAGATGTATAATCTCTCTAGCATGTTCTGGGTCTGCCTGGGAGTCTCCTACTAGTTGGACATGCATGGAAGACCACCAAAGGGAGGCGCTCTGAAGGCATCCTAATAAGATGCTCGAACCAACTGGCTCCTTTTGATGTGAAGGAGCAGCGGTTCTACTCCGAGCCCCTTTCGGATGTCTGTGCTTCGCACCCTATCTCTAAGGCTGAGACCGGCCACCCTACGAAAGAAACTCATTACAGCTGCTTGTATTCGTGATCTTATTATTTCAGTCACTACCCACAGCTTGTGGCCATAGATGAGAGATGGAGCGTAGACTGACCGGTAAGGTGAGAGTTTTGCCTTTCGGCTCAGCTCCTTCTTCACCGCGACGGCCTGGTATAACATCTGGATTACTGCTGATGCTGCCCCTACCCGCCTGTCAATCCCCCACTCGTGAACAAGACCCCAAGATACTTAAAGTCCTTCATTTGGGGCAGCAACTCACTGCCAACCCAGAGGGAGCAGTCCACCTTTTTCTGGCAGAGCAGTTTTGACGTTTAAGCCAATTTACTACAAACCCTGAATAGCTGACAACCTGTATTAACCACACAGTGTTGCAACGCTCTTCAACCAGCTGCAGCCACAATGTCTGTGTCAATATACGCCAACAAGTTCACATCACAGCTGAAGTTTCCCTGATCTGGTCAGATCAGGTCTGACATCAGCCCTGAGCCTGGGATGTGGACAAGGTGATAAGCAATGCTCAGACTTTTCCTTCTAGACTCACCTGGAAATGGGTCACAGCGAAGACACACACAGGTGGAGCCATGGCCAGCAGCAGACCAGTCAATCCCCATCTGGCTCCACCCCCTCTCTCCCAGTTTCCTAAAGTTCCCAGCAGCACTCTGAGGGCAGAGCACACTGGGATGACTCGGCTCGGGACGCTCTCATAGGCTGCAGCTGGCAGAGAGCTACAGTTGTCCTCACAGAGCGGCAAAGCAGCATAGCCAATCAGAACACTGATCAGAGAGCCGTATGCCACCTGAAGCTCCGCCCACCAACCCTCCTCCTGTTCTGGCACCTTATTGGCTGAGAACAGCCCATGAGAATCTGCTGCTTGGAGGAGGTGCTCCATACCACCAATCAGGGAGTTTGTTTCAGAGTCTGAAGATGCACCTGTCAGCTTCACCTGCAGCTGAGACAGAAGCTCTGTGATTCGAGGGAGGGCGGGAGAGGGGCGTGGCTTCTCCGAGGAGGCGGGAAGATGAAGGTCATGAAGTAAAGATGTAAGCTCCATCCTGCAGTGGAGAGAAACATAGATGGAAAGAAGGAAGAGAGAATAAAAATGAGGCGGGAAATGTATATAAACGGTGATTATGAAAAGAGATTAACATCAGTTTCTTCTTAAAACTTTCTCATCTCCAGGCTTTGACTCTGCTTCCAACTCCTGGTTGAAAAACCAACTGTAGACCTGCTTAAAACGACCTGAGACAGTTTATAATTAATTTGGCTTTGTTCCAGATGTGGCGTCTTTACTCCGCAGCTGCGCCGTTTCCGTGGAACAATCTGTCTCCCAGCCTAAAACGAGCCACTTCGGATCGTAAATTCAAGGAGGGACCGACGGTTCCTCGGCAGATTACAGCTTCTTTAGCGTAATGAAGGGAGCTCAGGACGTGCAGGTCTTCCTACGCTGTCAGCGTGACAGTGCCCCGTGTCGTCTGTTCCATGTGACGCCCCTCGGGGTCTCATGGGACTAATTCAGCGCTTTGACGCAGTTCACTGTGTGAATCCGAGACATTCAACACGTGTCACAGCCTCTTTTCTCTTTGGAATAAATGTTTGTATCTGAACTCAGACTGTCGGGTTTGTCTGTTGTTCACCGTCTTAGCGTCGTTTCGTCCAAAGACACGAAGTAAACACTGACCTGGAATCAGCCGCTTCCTTCACTTCGCGTCTGTCTTCTGCTGTTGGAAAGAAGAAACAAACTAATTTCACTTTGCTTTACATAAATCTATCTCTCATTCTCGGCATGTAAACGAACACAGATGTTTTAGCTGGAGGGACAGTGTGATCGTGGCGACCTTCCGGTTGGGGACAACGTCCCAATGAAGGTTCCTGCCGCTAAAAGGTTCCTATTAAAATGAACAAAAAGGCTGAAGGTGCAGCGATGATGGAGCACAGTGATGGAACGTAACTAAGTACATTTACTATCATTTAAGGGTATTTTGATGCTAATACCTCGGAAACTTTTACTTAAATAAAATGCTGAATGCAGGACATTTACTTGTAACAGTATTTGTACACTGGTTTTTCTACTTTTGCTAAAGACTGAGTACTTCTTTCATTACTGATGACACAAAACACAGATGATAAAATTGCAGATATAAATATGTAAAAACCTGAAATGGAGTAAAATTATATTAAAACAAAATATATTTTCCCTATGATAATTTTAATATTTTAATGTACATCACATTTTGACTCAATGCTCTTATTGAATTCCACATGAATTAATGATAATTTAATAAATAAAATCTGTTACTGAGAGAATAAGTATTCATTTTAATATAAAACAAAATATGTGTTATGTGTACATTTAACCACTGAGCTCAGCCGGATTAAGAGCATACACCATAAGCAGCACAGCATTTGACTATTAAAAGCACATTCAGTTTTACTAATCATTCACAGGCCACTAGTGCTATTTATATATACCTAAATATAAAAACCATAAAAAATCTGAAAGTGATGAAGAGTTGTTTCAGTTTCTGAACAAAGTAGAAAATGGTCTAAATCTGTGAAGGATAATTAAAGATGTGGATCTTTATTAAGATAAAAGGTCTAATAAAACCAGACTTAATAAAAGAATATAAAATTTAAAAGTTAACATGCAAAACATGTAAAGTTCATTGTTGACTTTGGAAATAATTTAACAAAGCTAACTTCTTACAGAGCTTTTAGCTGGATTCCATAGTCTTTTATCATGGATGGTGTCACTTTCTCAGTTTTTCTTATGGTTTAGAGACATGAACGATTTAGTGAGGTGGCCTACTGGGGCTCAGGGGCCTGAGGATTTAGAGAGGCCCCTGGTCCAGAACCTCTGTTTGAAGTTTGAAACAACCACAAAGAGGCAAATTTCCGACAAAGGCACACACCAGTTAGCAATAATAAAAGCATAACAACCACACACAGTCACAAACTACAAAAAGTCAAAACAACTGCAAAGAGTGACAGATTGACAAGAAATAGAGAAAAATGGTCACCAGTTATTCCGTCTCTCTGTCTGTAGGAGGTTGGGGGCCTTTGACTTGGCCATGCCCAGGGGCCAACTAGTTTCACAGTCCGCCCCTGCTTAGAGACATTAGGTATCTGAAAACAGGAAAGTGCAGTAGGTGAAGAAGATTTAGTCTTAAAAAAATGTAAAGTCAATATATACTTTCACATCTTGTGTCCTTAAACCAAACCACGATGAAGTCACCGGTATCAACTCAACTACAGCTTCACAAACAACACAATATGTTCACACGTTTGACCGATCAGCGTGTCTGCTGCCCACAAACAGCAGAGTCAGACCCTGTGGTTTGTGGGAAAGTAGTCCAGAGCCTTACTTAAGTTAATACCACACTGTAAAAATACTCTGTCACAAGTTAAAATATAGACTTAAAAGTAAAAGCACTCAATTCAGAAAACTAGCCCATGTTGGTTACTGTGCATTATATTATCAGGTCGTTAGCAGCATGTTGCTGTTGGTCCTAACAGTTTGGATTAATCCACTGACTGGCTCGTAAAAACTATGTGAAATGTTAAGAAAAATGTGTGTTAAAATTAAACAGAAGTGACACCTTCTAAAGTAAGCCTCAACATTATTAAAAAGAAATAAGCATCATAAAAATAATTAAAAAGAAAAGCATCAAATCCTCTAAACCAACTGATCAGTTCAGCTCTTAACTGCAGCAGCAGTTTGAGTCTAGAACCAGCATCATGTTTCAAAACTCTTCATGTTTTCTGTGCAAAAATCTATATTTGTAACTGCAGCTCTCTAAATGTAGTGCAATGAAAAGTACAATATTTCCCTCTGAAATGTAGTGGAGAAGAAGCACAAAGTGGCACAAAAAGTACCTCAAATTTGTAACAAAGAACTGCACTGGAGTAAATGTATGTAGTTCCTCTCCGCCACTGATAGTGATAGTGGCAGTTTTACAGGCAATATACCCTAAACCTGATGCTCCCCCCCCCTACTCATTTACCATAAATCAGCCTCAGAGGCTCTGAGTTAAAGCCCTGGCTGTTTCCTACTGGTTCCAGCCACGACCACATCAGAGGTGAAACCCAGACCTTTGATGACTGCACACACTCAGATTAGTGACACCCACTGTCAGCCTTGCTTCATATTTCAAAGCAGGAAAAGTTCTGAAGCCGCTGTGATCCGCTGTCACAGGATGTAATTAACACTCAGCTGAAGCATTAGGCACACACTGCTCAAACTGTTTGATCGGGGTCTTAGCACTTTGGTATTAGCATAAAATATACTTCAAGTACCAAAAGTAAAAGTACTCAATGCAGAATAGCACATTACACATGAATGCACATCATATTATTATACTACAATTATTGATATATTATTGCATACATCACATTTAATGCTGCAGCTGGTGAAGGTGGAGGTGGTGGTAACTACCTTATATACTTATACTGTGAAGTACTTTCCATCCTGCTGGGTAGCTGATGGATTTCCCACTGGGATCAATAGAGAATGATGGTTCTACTGGGTTTGGTTTGATTCATCTGATTCTGGAAAGGAACTAGTAACTAAAGTTATCAAATACATGTAGTGAATAAAATGTACAATATTTTTCAGTAAAATCAAGTCGAAGTATGAAGTAGCAAAAAAATGACAATATTTGAGTAAAGTACACACCTCAAAATTTGAGTAAATGTACTTAGTTACTTTCCCCCTCTGGGTTTAGGTTTTGCTAAGAGTGTAGTTTAAGTTGGGATTCAGGTTAGCTGGAGATTTAGGTTCATGATTCGCTCTGAGTTTGGATTTGGTGGTGGTTAATTTAAGCTCAGGTTTTAAGGATTTGTCAGTACAGGGTTTGTAATAGCTCAAGGATTTTTGTTAGTTCATGGTTCGGTTCAGGGAGGTAGGCCTATAGATTAGCTCAGGACAGTCTATGTTAGCTGGAGGTTAGCCCGAAGCTAAGAGTTGTTTGTATGAAAAGCATTTTTACTCTTCAACCAAACATCTCGACCTGCACACAGAGACATTCAGATGTGGAATTCATAAAAAGGGAGCTGAGGACACTACGTTCCTGTCTGATGAACAGTGAGCTAATTGAGGCCATGACTCGTCCTGTGTGATACAACATGGTTTCTGTTGTCATATAAAAGCTAATGCTAATAACTCCAGTGTTTGCAGTTACTGGTTCCTCATAAAGGAAAAACTGTGAGCTTTTCATTCACTTCCTGTTTGCTTTTCCATCTGACGGAGCTCCTGTCATGATTTTCTCTGATGAAGAAAGAAGCTGCCACAGGAAATTAAAGAGCTGATAAGAAACAAGAACACATGAGCTGATTTTTATCCGGATGCTTGTCATTGACCCCGCTCAGTTTAACATGGTGAGGACAGGTGCAAACACACACACGGGTAAACAGGTGCAGTCCAGGATACAGCAGGTTTTAATGGTGACACAGGTCAGAGGTCAGATACAGACGCAAGTAACACCGTGATTTGAGACAGACGATTTAATGAATGATCACTACACATTTCTCACTCCTGCAAAACTCCCTTAAAATAATTAAGGGATTTATACATAGTGGAGATTCATGAATTTATTTCTTCAATAGCCTCCTCATCATATCTGCTTATTTTGTACAAACACTAAATAGAATTCAGGGAGACCAGACCCTTCATCTGGAACCCCTCTGAACAGGGACTAGACCCAGCAGGAGTCCCTCTTCTCCCGCCACTCAGGAGCTTTTCAAACGGTACTTTTTCATTTGCAGTAAGACTGTCTGGTTGCTTTGGCAAATGTATGTCTGGTTAACTGGGACTTGGGTTCTCTCTGTGAGTACTGAAAGGTCTTGATCCTATGATGTAAAGTGCAGTGAAATTATTTTTTTTGCTGTGTTTGGGAAGTTTACAAATAAAACTTAATTAAGTGCCCCACCTCTTATTATCTTTTACAGGATAAAATCAATTATAGATTAGAATGTAAGAAACGTATCATTCATATCGTTTGTTTTATGCACTAAGAAAATGTTCATATTTAAGAAGTTGATGCTTTTTCTTAAAATGACAAACTGGTTGTCAAAAGATTAATCTTCTTCAGATTAATTGTTGGATGGCTAAAAATAAGGTTAATAAGGTGCTTTTGTCTGTCTCTATCGGACACCAAGGACCAATCATTTCTAAAATTGATGAGCAAGCTAACGATAATTGTGCGGCTAAGTGCACAGTCACCAAAACGAGCTAGCATTAGCACTAGCCCGTTAGCTAATCGCTGTCACATGGAGCTAATGCTAGTGCTGTTTTACAGTATTAGGTTATAGATCAGCACCTGGTTTCTCTTCACTTGTACTGATGACTGAACCAGGAGCGTTACAGTGCATGTGGATCCAAGCTGGAGAGGAGCTCACCTGGATCATGGCAACTTGAACGGGATTTACACTGCGGGAACTGAGGCGCCCGACATGGCTCCTCCTACAGCGGGAACTATGTGTCTCTGTCTGATCCTGATTTTTGACTCAGACGTACTGAAGCGACGGGGAACACAACACTGTGGCGAATGGAGAGGAGGAGAACGAACCGATGTTTGGACCCGGAAACAGAATGTGACGTCACCACGCAACAAGCGGCTAGGGCTGCGTCCGAAACCGCCTACTACCATACTGTATAGTAGGCGAAAAGCAGTAGGCGAGGCGAGTAGTATGTCCGGATTCGTAGTATTCCAAAAACAGTAGGCGAAAAGTACCCGGATGACCTACTGCTTCCGGTTGGATTTTGCAGTGTGCATACGATGGACACTTCACTATCCCATGATGCCCCGGGAGAGGAGTTATCCAACGAAGAAGACGCTGCTATGAAAACGTATGTCACGTGATGTATCAACATGGCGGATGTAGTACGTCCGAATCTCATTCATACTACCAGGCTTCATACTATACAGTACCTACTGTTTTAACGGTCAGTAAGTAGGTACTTAATCTCTTTCAGTACGTACTGTCACAGTATGCGGTTTCGGACACAGCCTAGGTCTATTCTGATCCACTGGCAGTGAGCCTACATCGACGTCTGATCATTGACGCCCTCCTCAGCCAGATGAGGGACGAGAGGTGAAAGGGTGTTACAGGCTTTCACGATTTAGTGTTAGGTAATTTCTTAGATAGATAGATAGATAGTGATTAGAGATCTGTTGTATTAGAAAATGTTAGTGTAGCCAGGATGTCTTGCTCAGGCTGTTAAATGCTCAGTTCATTGTCATGAGTTCTGCAGGCTGCATCTAGGCCAAGGTCACTAGATTTGCAGAGTCTGCCGGCAGGATGAATATTGCTAGTAGCATGATATGCTCAGCCGTAATCTTAATCATAACATTTTCCGAGGCTTACTGTTCGGACATGTCCCTGAATGTCCTGTATGTTTTTAGATACACACCACATAATCAACATTCACACACATTATTTTCTTCATGTTTTGACTACTGCTCTGGTCAGCTGC